TTTAGATGCACAAATACTTAGCATTGTGTTACAACTGCCTACAGTACTCAGTACAGTAACATACTGTATAGGTTTGTAGCCTGGGACCAATAGGCTATACCATATAGCTGATGTGCGTAGTAGCCTATACTATCTAGGTTTATGTAAGTATACTCTATGTTTGCACAATGACAGAATCACCTAATGAGACATTTTTCAGAATGTATCCCCATTGTTAAGTGATGTGCATGGCTGTACTTTAAATTATATCTAGATTATTAATACCTAATATAACATAAATGTTATGTAAAAAGTTGTTATACTGTATGGCTTAAAAATAATGACAAGAGAAAACCTATGTATGTTCAGTACAGATGGAATCATCCAATTTTTTTTTTTTCCAAATATTTTCAATCCGTGGTTGGTTGAATCCACAGACCAGGAACCCATGGATATGGAGGGTTAATTGTATATGTATATTCGTGTGTGTGTGTGTGTGTGTGTGTGTGTGTGTGTGTGTGTATCTGTGTGTATAGTTCCTAATAAAACAAAACACTGCTCTGGGGAAGAGTAAAAGTATTTAATATAAAGATCACTACTAGTATGAATTTGTTGAATAAGACCTTTGCCTGCTATCAAATCTAATTTGAGTTTCCGTGAGAAAATTCAAGATTGTCTGGAGTTTGGAGATATAAAGAATGGGGGTTACTTTCTGGTGATAGAGGGCATGGATGATTTGGAATGTAGCATAGGAGGACCTGGCCATTGGACACGTGAGGTCTTATTTAGAGTTATGTCCAGAGCAAGCATTCCCTTCCTACCTTCTAACTTCCGATGATGATTATTTAGGATTTAAAAGATCTGAATTCATATAGTCTTCCAGACTGCTTGCTATATTTACGTGTTGGCCAAACATGATAACCCTAGCTTTATGACTTCTGTGACAAAAAATAAGTCATTTTACTTTAGCCTCAAATGCTTTCCCTTTCAAAATGGAGTTAATAACATTAAAAACAATAACCATAAGTCTTATTTTTTGAGTCCTTATCCTGTGCCAGGAACTGCAGTCTGTATTTTACATGGGTTATCTCATTTGTTCATCAGAGCAACCCAATAGGCTCCTCTTTGATGTAAATTACATTGTAAAAAATTGATAAGTAGAGAAATGAAGTTGGTATAATGAGGAAGTTGTATTGATTTGTAAGTTATTTGTTTATTCTTGAATTTTTATTTATGCTTTGATATAATCTGAACATATTTTTTCACAATTAAAAAAGAAAGATTTGGCTATGTGAGAAAGAAACAACTGAAACTCTACTGAAGAATATTTTACTGCAAGTAGAGTGAATCTACAGAGTGGCTACATGAACACCTGTAATTGATAATACGTTAATCTCTGTGGGGAACCTAGAAGTATAGAAAAAAGGAGCACACAGTTATTTCTCTGAATTAAAACAATAGATTAATAAAGAAGGTAAATGATGGATTGTGTTTTCAATTTTGATGAAAAGGGTCTCTATTTAGAAGTAAATGAACCTCAATATCTACTTCAAGAAGGAAAAAGCACAACCCCAGTATTTGAAGCTGTAAAAGATTGACTGACTGAGATGCTTGTTGAAATATCACTAAATATTTAACTTTGCTAGTATTTTTTTTGTGATTGTGATTATTTTAGTTTCTGTTAGTTCCAGATACAAGACCACAAGTCTTTTTAAAAACATACACATGATGTTATTGCAGAAATACCTTTTCTACTGTGGTACTGATTTTATAGAAGAGAAAAACTGAGAGTGAGTGAGGTTAAACAATCTATCTATTTTCCCACAGTGGTGGTGGATCCAGGACTGGATTCTAAGCCTATCAATTCCAGGGCCAGCTCTCTTAAATTCTATGATATGAATATCAAATGAAGTTTGATTCCTTTTTCCTAATTGATATTTTTTTTTTATTATGATGAAAGCATGTAAAGGGAATTCCATCTTGACTATCACCTATTCCACAAGCAGGCCTATTAAGGGTCAACACCCATTCATCCCCATATTATCATTAAATATGTCTCTTTACCTCTAATATGATTCCTTGTTCTAGCTGATATTAATAGAGCCATCCAGCTTTCTTATTGGTGTTGTGTAGCATAACTTATATTTTTATTTTTAAGTTATCTGTGTCCTTATATTTAAAATAGAGTCAAGGAAGGGAATGGATTTTATTTTATTTATTTATTTATTTTTTTGAGACAGAGTCTAACTCTGTTGCCCAGGGTAGAGTGCAGTGGCGTCATCATAGCTCCCAGCAACCTCAAACTCCTGGGCTCAAGCGATCCTTCTGCCTTAGCCTCCCGAATAGCTGGGACTACAGGCATAAGCCACCATGCCTGGCTAATTTTTTATATATATATTTTTAGTTGTCCGGCTAATTTCTTTCTAATTTTGGTAGAGGCAGGGGGGTCTCGCTCTTGCTCAGGCTGGTCTCAAACTCCTGACCTCAAGCTATCCACCCGCCTCGGCCTCCCAGAGTGCTAGGATTACAGGCATGAGCCACCATGTCCGGCCAGGATTTTAAATATTATATGAAATATGTTAAGCAAAAGGTTCTCTTGGCAAAAAGGGAAACTTGCAAATCAAGAAAGGCAATAAGTGACCACATTCTCCCAATACGCCTAGGGTTGTCCAATGGTTAGCTACATACTCCAACATTGTCTCAGAACAACAGCTGCCCAGATCTGGAAATCTTAGGACCTGTAGGAAGATACAGTCACCACTGCAGGAGTGCAAAGAGAGGAGTTTCTGGCTCAATGCAAACCTCAGATTGGATGTCACCTATTTTTCTGTGGGGAGCTAAAAGGATAGGGTTTTCAGGTAAGCCAGGGTAAACACCTAGGTTAATTTATTTTTACATTTTTAAATATGTTTCCTTGTATCAGCTCTGCTTTAGCTGTGCTGTCTTCCCCCCCTCCTCTAGACTTTTGGTCTAAAGCAACATGGCACATGACAATCTTGAGAGATTTTTTGGCAATATGAATGAAGTATTCTTGTGGTGGAAAAAAGACAAAAACAAAAACAAAGCTCTTTCTTTTTCTGCATACCATCAGTAGAAACACCTATTGGTGAGTTTCAATCATTGATGAACACAGGGGTGATCTGAGAACAAGAAAAATATTTAGATCTTCTCCATGAAAATAAAGAAATCATTAAATAAAATATAAATCTGGATACATTAACTACTTTAATAGTAGTTAAAAAAATTTCTAGTTATAAACCATTTGCTTTGTAAAGGAGAGCTCAATGGTGAGTCTGCTTGGTGTATATGTACACTATCAAAAAATTTGCTGTTGCTGCTATTATGGACTATTGTGTCAAGGAGTAAGTGTTAATGTTAGTTGACCCACCTGTTGTACATTTCTTTTTTTTTCTTGATAAGAGAATAAAATCCAAGTTAATTTCTTAATTACATATTGAAATATACACCAAATAATTTGTCAGTGGTGAAGTATTTGCAAATGGGTATATACTAGGGCCTTGAATGTATTCTTGAACATGTAGGGGTAAGAAAATGCCATTAACATGTGAGCTGTAAATTGGGGTGTATTGTCTGTAGGTTATCTATTTGCCATTTAAGGAAGATCAGTTTAATTGAATATTTACATTTTTCTGTACTAGTGTATGAAAAAGTAGGAAAAAAAATCCTTCCTTTTAGAAAAGCATGTGTGTGAGAGAGACTGTGTGTGTTTAAATATTGCTTAGGTTTGTGTTACAAAAGAATAATGTTTCCTTCCAACATTCCCTAGGCAGATAAAGCCCATTAGTAAAAATATGATAAAGAAATACTATAGAAAGTTGTTAAACTGTTAAATTGCTGAGAAAAATCTTCCAAAGAGACCCCCCTCTTTTTGCTGTAATTATACTGTGGTATAACATTTAGGCCGATTTTATGCCTTAAGAAAATGCAACTGATACATTTTGCATCATATTCTTCAAGCCAGATTCATATTAATTTTTATGAGTTCTCTATATATTCTTGTGTGTTATCCTAAGGCAATGAGTTCCCTAGATATTTATCATTTATTCTAGTGTCTTTAAGAGGGTACATTTTTATTCGCATAGCCACAACTCTTCTATATGCTATAAGTTTAATAAAATGGATCAGTTGAAAATGATTGCTCTAAGCCATAATGCATTATCATTTGGCAAAGAAATCATTGATTTCTGAATGAGGGAAAAGTGGAATTTGAGTTGTATCAGGACCATTTGCCTTCAACATATAAAATGCATGGGATCTTTAACAGAGTAGGAAGGATTAGAGACATATGCTCTTTCAGCTCTTATTCAAAAACTGTCTATAATTCAGTCTGCTGAAAAAATAATAAGAAAGCAAGCATCAAAATATTATATTGGAACAGTGTGTTGTTCTAGTGGAGTAACCCAGACATGTCTTAAAGAAGAATGGCTTCTATTGCATATCTACAGACTAGTTTTGTCTTTCACATTAAGATTTATGTTTTATGGATTTTCTTTAAGATAAAAGAAAAAGAAGCAGTTCTCACTGTGGGAGATTCTGCTACTTTTTCAAATCTCTTCCTTTTTCTTCCTCTCTTAGTTTGGAGATATCTCTCTTCATATCAGAAGTCTTACTGAATGAATTGAGGTATCAAACTCTGTTATTCCAAGCATTTCCTTTTATTCAGGATAAAATTCAATGATAACTCCTGTGAGAAGTGATGGACAGAGAAAGAAACAGGTTCATGTCATTAAAGGAAAACAAGAGATAGATGACGAAATTCCCCACGTGTTTGAATCTCTGCTTCCGGCCTTCATCTCCCCCAAATATAATTTATAAATAGCATAATGAAGATATTTTTGTCTTTTTGAGAAAGAATATTTTATGTCTTATGCTAGATATGTAATTGAGTATGTTCTATTTTAAAACAGATTTGTAAACTGGCAGGGGTTTAAGAGCATGATCTTTGCTAAAGAATGCCTATGAGTAGAATATGTTTTCAAATAATTTTCTTTGGTTTGCAGGTACAATTCTGGTGGACAATATGTTGATCAAAGGGACTGCTGGAGGACCAGACCCCACCATAGAACTCTCTTTAAAGGACAATGTGGATTACTGGGTGTTGTTGGATCCTGTTAAACAAACGCTTTTCCTGAACAGCACTGGCAGAGTTCTGGATAGAGATGTGAGTAATTTCTTTTTTCTTTGCCCCTGTATTGTAAATTTATTATGATATAAATATCTATGTGTGTTTGATATAATATTAAATTTTCTTTATAATTTGAGTTTATTTCCTGGGTATATCAACAACATTTATTTTTTTAACTCCTTGAAAGAAGAATGAGAAAGAAAGGGAATATCTGTGCCTGAGATAACCATGATATTTCCCCTTTAATATCCTGGAAGATTGTCAGATATCTGAACAAGAAGAGAATAAAGTGTTAAAAATAAAGAGGTAGTAGCCTTTGCAAAGTAGAACAAGCATGACTATATTCCATTTTTCTCCAACAACAGCCAAGTATGAGAGTGTCACTCAGCTGCTGGCTTGAAGACAAGCTTTGATTGGGTGCATTCACAGGTGGCTGCTCTTAAAAGTAGTAAGGATTGGTTGAAGACTGAAACTGTGGCAGTGTGCTTATATAGCTGTAAAAAAAGGAACAGGTGAGCAGATGTTTCCTAGCAAAGTTCCAGTACAGTAGTTCTCAGGCAACATGACATAAGTGATTTGTTATTAAGAAAAGCTAAATTATTAAAGTTGCTGCTGGTCTCATTTCTGAAAAAGCTGAAAACCTTTAGCAGCTTTAAGTAGCTCTCTAAAGTAACTTTGTCCTCACCTATTTATTTATACCTCGTTCTTTTCTGAATGCAAAGAATGGGGAAAGAATGTGGGAGATTATAACCAGTAATTGTACAGGACCCTGGGAAAACTCAGGGAGCATATCTAAACATGACTACCCTCAAGTTTCCAGTTTATGAAGTCCAGATGTCAGATATTCAGTTTAGTGAACCTGAATCATCTCACATCATTGCGCAGGGTTTATGATTCTCTTTATATTAGGTTATGGAGTCTATGATTCTTTAATCTATTTCATGTCTAAAGTTTGGAGTTTTTAATAAACCTCATTTTGTCTCTTATTTTACTGCAGTTTACGATGTCCTTTATTAACTATGAATTTTTTTATTTCTTGTGAGTCATGTTTTCCTGTTGCCATATTGCCACTATTGCCTATTGCCCGTAGTGCTTTTAGGGCTCCATTTATCAAAGCATAAAGGCTTTTTATCCTGAAAATTCTTAACCCAGTGCCTATTTTGTGTGAAGCATAGACCATTGCTGCTAGACAAGTGGTGAAAGAAATCAATGCTTTTAGTCCAAATCTGAGCATAACGGGAAATTATAATCTCATTTAATTGCAAAATATTATAAGCTTATTATATTAAAAAGCATATAAATATGCTTTTAAAAAGCATATTTACAAAAGTAATTTTACCATCTAGGAA